GCATTCTCATACAATCAAGTAAAAATAATAGAACGAACATGAAAGAAAATTAACCAAACCACTCTACATAGATCTGTCTAGATTTGTAATTTTCAATCTATTGACTCGATTTAGTGTATGTAAGTAGTAAGATGAAGCCGGATAGTGTTCTTGGTTTAGTATTAATGTGAGGCTTACAAGAATGAAATCCAGCTCTGATGATGTCCATCATATGATGGACGAAAGCTCAGCACGTTTTCACCGGAAACGAGAGAGGAAAACTCGTCGACTGCGTCAACATGAATATAATATAAAAGCTAAAAGGCTGCAGTACAACGATTTTCATCCGTGCTCTCGTGGACTGCGTCAACATAAATATAATATAAAAGCTAAAAGGCTGCAGTACAACGATTTTTATCCGTCCTCATCTGGTGAGAACGACAAACCAATCTCTTCATCATGTACTTTCATTCGAAATGAAGTTCCCCCTAACCATTTTCCTTCGTTTTAGTGTGAGACCTATTTACGAATCACTTTAAACCGACTTTTCCTTTCAACTGAACTGTCGAATCACACTAAATCACCACAGGATCCTTCCACATCCATCTTTTCCTCACAGTAAAAATGCAACTTTTAACCGACTTACAGTGCCTCAAGTTAGTATGCACCGTTTACGGATTGTTTCGAGGCCTGTTCAAGCTGAATATAAATCATGAACCACCTGTTTAGGGTCTACTGGGTACAGTCATTAGTTTTATACCTTCTCACTTGGAAGGTGCTTATGGTACGTTATTTCGTGAGGTATAACTGCTCTCTCAGCCGAGGTCTATGATATGAGAGACAGAAACCATAATCCCGTTCATCGGGGTCACATGATGTTCGACCGAGTACTTCTTCGCATACTACATCAAGGCAATCAAACCTCATACAGTTTTCTTGCGAGACCCACTACTTCTTTGTTCGAGATGAAAAATGATGTGAATTGGTTTCAAACACTTCATTTTGCTGATTATGATATGTCTACAGCTAAGCGCAAAATTAGAGATGCCATTGAAATCAATAAATTAGGCAATGCTCTAAATGTCAAGAACATCGGCAAAACGTTTTATAAGAACTATTTATGTTTAATAGATAGACTTAAAGATGGAGGATGTTGAGCAGCCTGCAACTAGGAGGCGACTCAACTACTCTTCTTTTGGTAATGGTTACAATCACGATCACACTTTCTAGACGTCGTAGTTCACTCTTTCGCTCTCATTTGCTGGCAAAAATTTTCCAGAGATACTGGCATACCTTTCATTTCGTTTGATAAGGCGTTCATAGATTGGCCTCACCGGATTGAATTTTGCTCTTCCAAATGAGGTAAACCATTATCTGAACATACTCGTTGAAGTAATCGGCTTATCGGATATATTGTATGAAGAGGTGAAGAACAGTATTGAATTGAAAGTGATTCGTCATTTTCACCAAATAATCACACCAAAGTAATTTTTTTCTCACTAGGGTTTCTGGATAGTCAAGTTATGAAGACTGACGAAGGTGTAACAGTGATAGTCATAGCTAGGTCACAATATGTAGAAAAGAGGGTAGTTCATTTAACTGATACTGACAGGTTAAGCTTTTAATGAAGAGTCCAATAGAAAGGCTTGATACCAGGCTAAAGGATGCTCTTAAGGTATGCGTAAGTAACGGTGAAATGAAGAATTTGAAAATGAATTCACTGCTACAGAGAGACGCAAGGAACAGCAAGGAACGG